CTGTGTCTGTGTCTGTGTCTGTGTCTGTGTGTCTGTGTGTCTGTGTGTCTGTGTGTCTGTGTGTCTGTGTGTCTGTGTGTCTGTGTGTCTGTGTGTCTGTGTGTCTGTGTGTCTGTGTGTTGTGTGTCTGTGTGTCTGTGTGTCTGTGTGTCTGTGTGTCTGTGTGTCTGTGTGTCTGTGTGTCTGTGTGTCTGTGTGTCTGTGTGTCTGTGTGTCTGTGTGTCTGTGTGTCTGTGTGTCTGTGTGTCTGTGTGTCTGTGTGTCTGTGAGTCTGTGTGTCTGTGTGTCTGTGTGTCTGTGTGTCTGTGTGTCTGTGTGTCTGTGTGTCTGTGTGTCTGTGTGTCTGTGTGTCTGTGTGTCTGTGTGTCTGTGTGTCTGTGTGTCTGTGTGTCTGTGTGTCTGTGTGTCGGTGTGTCGGTGTGTCGGTGTGTCGGTGTGTCGGTGTGTGTGTGTCGGTGTGTCGGTGTGTCTGTGTGTCTGTGTGTCTGTGTGTCTGTGTGTCTGTGTGTCTGTGTGTCTGTGTGTCTGTGTGTCTGTGTGTCTGTGTGTCTGTGTGTCTGTGTGTCTGTGTGTCTGTGTGTCTGTGTGTCTGTGTGTCTGTGTGTCTGTGTGTCTGTGTGTCTGTGTGTCTGTGTGTCTGTGTGTCTGTGTGTCTGTGTGTCTGTGTGTCTGTGTGTCTGTGTGTCTGTGTGTCTGTGTGTCTGTGTGTCTGTGTGTGTGTGCGCGCGCGTGTTTTTCAGGGTACCCGTTGAACAGATGCTTTTTGCGGGTCCCCTGATTAGACACGCCACATATACATTGACAGTGCGATTATGTTGAATCTGAGGCGGTCAAGTGCCACAGGGAAGTAACATTGACATCATGGAACTCCGGTTTCAATTCAGCCCACGCCAAACTAAAGGTGCAAAAGCGCGGATAGGACTGTCCCAATTCTGCCTTTCATTCTACCAGCATCTACCCAGGTTTTGATTGCGGCTGGCGATAGCGATGCTGTCTGTCATCCAGGTCTTTGCCCGGGTATCATGGCTCAAACCCCACGCGAGACAAAAGGAGAATGAGAAGGTCGATCTGGGCATTTAACTCCGCAATCCTCGCAGTACAGGATGCAGGAGTTACCAGGTCCGAAATGGATACCTTGCAACGTGGCATACGCTGGTACCGGCCCAAGCGCGTCCATGGTAAGGTAAAGCCGCAGCTCAATTTAAGGTTGGAACATTGGCTTGGTTTTTGAGTATATCCTTAGTTGGTTGAAAGGGAAATCAAATGGACACTAATTTTGTGAAGTTGCACTTTTGAAAACAAACCCGAATCCCTTTGGTTGGAATGTCAGTTGGACCTTGTTATAGTGCTTGGAAGTCCTTCTGAAGGACTAATTCCAACTTACTTGGGCCAAGGCGGGCCAAAGTGCAAATACCTTCCTGCTTGATTCCCCAAACGCAAGGACGTATGCAAGCGTTGAAAGACCCTTGCGGCTGGGGTACTTGTACGACACTTGCTCCGCAAAACCTCAAAACACATCCAAAGAAATGGGGAAATGATCAAATCTTTACCTTCCAAGGGCTGTCATTTACCTGAGGAGACCTTTGGCAATTTCTGCTATAGCAATTGCCTGAAGCTGCTGGCCTTCAATCTCACGGGTGCCATTGGAAGGGCACTCTCTTCTGGGATGAGTTTTTAGTTGGAGACCTTCTGCCTCCAAAGTGGAAAAGAAGCTCCAAGGGAGCAAACCCATGGAATATACTGAGGGGTCTGCATGAATAGGGCGGCTGAGATCCGCAGGTCTTTGGGGCAGACCCCACGGAGGGCGGGAACAGCGCAGAGTGCGTCCGGATCCTTTGGCCGCGGGGGCTGGGATCGCAATATTCAGCTAGCAAAAACATAAGCTCAGGTGATATCCCCAACAGCATGCGCTGCTTTTTTTAGTGCTCGCACCACCCCGCAGCCCTCGCAGAATTTCGTGGAACCCTGGCGGAACCCGGGTGGAACCCTGGTGAACCCCTCGTGGAACCTTTCCTCAGGGCGGCCGCCCCGGACCACCCCGGAGCCTATCTGGGCTGAGACCCCAAAGCTTTCAGCTGTTGGGGAAAAAGAAGGAGAATCGAAGAGAGATCTGGTGATGGACAACATCCCGCACCTAAGAAACCCTAGAATGATGATTCCTGCAAATACCAAGGAACCATGATTTCAACCATGGTTTCAAAGTGGTTTTCTGGATTTCGTCCATGCACAGTATTCGTTTTTGGTTTTGGGCCAGAAGGCAGCTTGGGCCAAGTTGTGGGCTGGCGAGTTGAGTTGCTTGCTTGAGTTGGTACGCTCACCCATGGAAGCTGGCAGAAGGTCTCTTGATCGCTTTAAAAGGAAGACTGTCTGCCAAGGGGGTTGTCTATTTGGGTGGGCTTGTTTCAAGCTAAGGGAAAACGGGCAGTTTGAGTTTTGGGGGCGCCTGGATCCACGGATGACAAGAAATTGCTCATGGCAACATGGCATGAACTCTGCACCTGTATCAACCAGGCTTTGTTTAAATAGTTTAAGGTCGGCTAAGTATGACGACACAGAAAACGTATCTTTTTGGGGTCAGAATGGGTCAACGCGTTTACATGGCACTTTGACGGCTTGTCACATCTCGGCCATTGCTCATCGGGCACTGTTCCCTTCCCCAAAGGAGACGATCTTGTGCAACTAGAGCAAATAAGCTCACCTGAGTGGGTCAGGAAGTTGTGCTTATTGGCAGCCACAAGTAGCATCCTGATAAAATGCCCTTGGCGGTGTTCCTTTGCACTTTGGCAGGGAAACGTTTAGTTTAGTTTAAAGCATCGGTTCAGGGAGGAGTTGAACCTTGACGGTCTGTGCTTCCAGCCAGAGGCTATGAAGAAACAGCGCCTCACCCAGAGCAATTGAACCTGGATACCTTTCCCAACAATTACACTTTAGCGCCACCCCGGCGAGTTTGGAATACCGAAGAACAGGTTGCCACCAAAATGTGAGGAAAGGTCCGATGTTGGGCTTCTGTGTAGCGTTCCACAACAGCGCTTTTCCGAAGACATGCGGTGAGAAACCCATGCAGTTTGGGTTCCCCAGCCAGCCCATAGCGGCCGCTATCAATACCTGATGGGTATATACAGGAATGCTCACCAGGGACAGCAATGAAACCTGTTTGCAGGTGGAAAGATCGCAGTACGGTCAAAAAAGGCAACGTACGTTGGTATCGCAGAAAAGTTTTTTTTCACCACTGGGTTCATTCAGCGAGAGTGTACCATGACTCTCACAATGAGGACCTTTCTTTGGAGCGTTTCTGGAAGCAACCCAAAACAAATCACAGCCCAATGAAGCTGAGCCGCTGGAGTTGAAAGTACCGCCCCCAAGTCTCACGTTTCGTGCAATCAATACAGCGGCCATGTTGGAGCATACGGGTGGGAAATGCTTTGAACGATCATTCCAGGGTCCTACTCAGCTACTACCCTATCCGAATCGAGCATACCATTGGAGAAGGGCCCAAATGCAAATCGCGGCGAGGCCATTTGCATGTCGGAGCGCCGGGACACCGCTGTACTTCCTTGCAGGCAGTTGGCATGTTTGTCAGAGTTGCTCCGAGCCTTCTAATTCTTGCCAGACTTAGCTTAAAGAATTGCCTTTTAAGTTTTTTTCTCCTGTTGGTGTTCTTTTATTTAGTGGTTGGAGGCTGTAGTCTTTCCATGATAAGGTGACCAGCCTCAAGTTGGAGCAACGGCAACGCTGTTTGCCGCACTCAGGGGTCCGTTTAACGTGTCCGATCGAATACGCGAGTTCCGATCGCTGGCACCAAAGGACAATCGATGTGTAGCCTCCTACGTCCTACCTATGTGTTAACACCCATGTAGGGTCACCCAAACTGGTCCGGGCTCACCGAATAGGAAGACCCCCAACGTGGATAAGCCCTCTGTTTTTGACAACTCCCCAGAAAAGAAGGCACGAAAAGCTAGACTCGCTGGTGACTTGGCTCAAGCAAATAGGAACTGTGTAAATGAACCTCACTAATTAGCAAGCTCGCCCGGAGGTAAACGAGTGAATCCGGGCCGCATGAAGGTCCCTTAGAGATTTGTTAGGCAGATGTTTGCCAGCTCGGCTTAAGGCGAACGGATTCGCGAACGGAACTTTGATTTGTTTGTTGAAGTCACAGCATTTCCCAAACGCATGCCCCGCGACGGGATGGTGCCGACTAGAAGCATCTGAGGTAAAAGTGTTTGAACAGAGTGCAAGCAATTGACACGGTTGCTCCAAACCTTACAATGAAACAATGACCTAACCAGAAGGCAAATAATTGGTATTGGGCCGCGAATCTTTGGAGCAACCAGCCAAATTTCTAGCTTGTGCCTTTCCAGTGTTCAGTAAGTTCGCTTGTAAGTTGGCTTGTATTGTCTTTTTCCAGCCAAATGTTTGGCTCGTGCCAGGGTTTTTGGAGCAACCCTGAATTGCTTCGAAAAACGGCTTGAGTGGCACCTTGCGCACATCGGACCTTCACGGGGATTGAGAAAGATTCGAGTTGTTCACACACCGCCTAATTACGGGTGTCTCCACATGTGCATTGGTGCGCACTTAAAGGGAGACCAAAAGGAATCGACCGAATTTCAGCATCCCCCGTTTTAGTATCCCGGCAATGTGCGCAGATCCTATTGCCAAGACTGTCCCATGTGTTGAAGCACTCAGCTTGCCTTTTTAACATTCTGTCGCCTTGGCCTTCCTTCCGGTACCCTTTCCTCCACCAGAACCATGCTTTGCCGTTTCCGCATGCCTCATCAGCTTGCTACTCGGCGATGTATTCGCCAACAAGGTTGCGCACGCATGGTGGTCTAGCTTCTTGTTTCTGGGAGAGACCAAAGCAATATCTTAAGTGTGATATTTAAATAGACGTGGGGATGACAAACCCCAGGTTGCTATCGCAGGCAGGGCAACCCAAAAACCTTACAGCCACTGCCTCCAAGTGTCCACCGCGTCTGGGATTGGACTGCCCGCTACCTCTCTCCATGTGCGGTGCGATTGACTTTGTGTACGGCGTGCTGCGAAATGCCCGGGGCCCCAGTTTTCCAGTGTTCTGCTTCCCCACCCACTCAACCCAAAAGGAAAAATACGGGCACCAAAGACGCTCGGACCTCCAGGGCCCGTTTTCCGGTTTCCTTTCAGGAAATTCCTTGCTTGAATGAATTCCGAAAGAGAAAAGGTCACCTTTTCCCATATCCGTGTGTCTTTTTTAGGGCACCCCCCCCCGCCCAAAAGAAAACGGAAAGCAAACAAACAGATATGGTCGTTTTCGTTGGCTTCCCTTCCAGTCCGCCAACAAAAAACGTATCCTCAAAAAAAGCACGAGCCACCCACGCGCTCCGCATGGGTTCCCGTCCGACCTTTCCGAGGCCCTCTGGGACGACGCCGCGGTGGCCGAGAGCGGCGCCTTCGCGAAGCGCTTGGCGAAGCAGGCGGGGAACTCAGGGCCCTGGTCTTTGGCTGTTGTCAAAAATTAGGAAGCTCCCATTCCTGGTGGGATTAAGTTTGATCCACGCCGATTTGCTGAAACGTACGTTCGTGTTTTCCCTTGTTGTTTGAAGGGAACCTGTCACTACTGCATACTGCTATGCGTTTCTTACTTTTCGAGGTACTTAGGCAAATGGAAGTGGTGGGGTCCTTTCAGTTTCCATCCAAAATACCAACCAAAACGCTGGGTAAAATTTGGAATTCCAACTAAAACAATACACATGAATAGATTGGTTATGGTTGGTTGGTCTTTTTGTTGGTTTTCAGCCAAAAGCCAACGGAATCTTGGGACCTGGGGATCCATTTTGAAGAAGCGCCCCAGGCGGAGGGCGAGAGCTTCACCTCGGGGCTGGTAGGCCGGGGCCCGAGGCAAAGGGATCCTTCCGTGCCGCACGACGGGTGAGGTGCCTTTTTGTGTCCGTGTCCAGCCCAAGCCCAAAAAGGTGGCTGAGGGAAGGCAGGTTCGGTCAAACAAAGACTACCCTGGTGATGTCAAATGAGAGACAACCAAAACCCGGGTAAATGGAGGGTAGTACACAGTGGACAATCCCCTTGCCATAAATCGCGGCCGCCTGTTGAATTCTTTCCATGGTCAGACCATTTCCACACCAGGTTTTGATTCTGACGCCAATGGGAGCGCTGAGGAGGCCTCCGAAATTGCAGTCAGGGGCCACTTCGGGGAGGGGGGGTGCCTCGTTGTGGAGGGTACCTTAGTTGGGATTGGCTTAAAGGGAAACCAACATGAAATAAGCCAGTTTGATGATAGCCCAGCAAAATTGAGCCAGGCCCTTACCTCGCATGGCGCTACTCCTACCTTCTGGTGGGGCTCTTCTTTGGCATTTTAAGCGCGCTGATGTCCGCTCCCTGGCTGGGACCACGGACACGCTACGAGGAATTCCTGGCACGCGCCTCGCTTTATGGATGTCATTTGCAGGCCGTCGTTTGTGGCCAGCCGGTAGATTTGCAATGTGTGCCTTTTGCTCGTTGGTCCGTATATTTCTGTTCTTGGGTGTTTTTAAACGTCACTTTTGGGCCAGCTTCAATCTGTTTGCTTGGCGGCATGATGCTTGAAGGGAACATTGAAGGAATCCTTTCTTGACTCTCGTTGACATTGGGACCTCTTTTGACGTGATTTGAGATTTCAAAGGTTCACCAATCCCAAACTGTCATGCTTTGGTGGCGGAGGGCTGATGATCTGTCCAATCAGAGAAGGGCTCATTCGGTTTAAAGGCAGTCCAACATGAAGCAGTTGAATCAGGATCCCGAGCCGGCTGCTCCTACCTTGGGACTACGGCGCGTTTGATAAGGGCCGTGCGCGTGGCGGGGTGTCGAGTTGGGATTTGTCCAGTCATATTCCGATGGCTGTGAAGGGGCCTGAGTCCGCATGGTTTCAAAAGCAATCCCACCACGCAGAAGTATAGCAATGTTTCTTAGTATAGCAATGTAGAGACGTCGGCTACCTTGTTTCTTAGTATAGCAATGTCGACCGGAGCAATCGAAAGATTGACTAGTCTAGGGTTGTGACCGCCAGCCTCAGGTCAGTTGCCTCAAGGAGTGCCACCCGAGCGCTTTGCGGAACTGATTGCAGCCATGGAAGGCATCGACATAGGCGCAACCTGATTTGGAGGGGAAACAAGTGCTTGGTGTCCTTGCAACGAGGGGAAGCCCGCACAATTCTCATGCGGGTTCCAGTGAGTACATTGGGAGCCCCTCTTGACTGGTTTTCCTTAGCCAAGCCATGGTCAATGGTTGACAATTGCATCATTGCCGCGACATCTTGCATGCGGCTTTCAAAGTTCTCAGAACCCACATGGTCCAGAACAGCATTGACATAAAAACCAAGCCGGACCCCAGATGTCTATGTGACTCTCCGGTAGATTCGCATGGACACCAGCAAAACCCACCCAGTTTTTGCAGCGGTCCTCAAGTACCTCTGCAAGTTCATTCTACTTGTTTCGGCCCTCATGATTCTGATCTAAAACATGAACCCCCCCAAGTATCAGGGTTCCCATTACCAAGCAACATTGTCCTGGACTTTGTACCTGGTTAGACCATTATAGCCTTATGGCAGTAAACAGACAAATTGAGCTTTTGTGGGCAACACACTCAGGAAGTGAGTTGTCCCTGATAGGCGCCTGGATGCTGGACATCTTGGTGCTGCTGGGCGTTAGCTGCTCCTTGTTTCTGGCCGCACCAAGCCGAGCCATGGTCAACGTGAGGCTGGAGCGCGGGGCGGATCGGGTTTTCGCTCGCACGTGAGGCTCATTCCAACCTATAAATGGATTCGTGTTTTCCATTTGCTGAATATGTTTTATGTTCCCCTGTTGGATTGAAAAGGACTCTATCACTGCCTGAAATATGTTTGTTTGTTTTGTTTTCTCCCAGGGGACTTAAGCAAATGGAAGTGTTGAATTGGTTTGTTGACTTGAAGTTTAACTTTTACTCTTGGTTGTGGGATAGCACCCGAGGTCTAGCTATGCGGGCCATGATCATGGTCAGGGTTTCCTTGATAGCAATCATTTTCATGGTTAAACATTAAGGGCTTCATAACTTTTAAAGGGTTTGTCAACACGATCGTTGTTTGGCTTGGTGACCCACAAGTCAGGGCCTTTGGCTTTGTGAATTGAGTTTCACCCAGTATGCAAAAGGCGCAGTTATTGACGCCAACTAGCGCTGTCCACTAACACGCTTCAAGACTTCAAGACCTCTTTCGAGCGTGCACAGGTGTTTGGTCGAACAATCATGGACATGGACCATGGACAGGGGTTCTGGCAGGGAAAAGAGGGGATAGTTTTTGCTTGACGGCCATTCCTGGATGTTTCTTTCGGCCCAAATGTCAGTCCTCTGGCAGAATGCAGACGGCTAAAGATTTTGCTGGAGGGAGTTTCCAGGTATTTGTTCCTTTTGTTTAGTGGTTGCTGGAACTTACAATCAAGTTATATAGGGTCTCTCCTGTTGCGGGCAACCCTTTGTGGGGGTGCTTTGAGCCGCGCATTTTAGTGCTTGTCTCATTTGAGCCACAATCAAAACCCGGGTAGATGAAGGTTAGTAACGGACAATCCCAGCTATAAATAGTTAAGGCCGCCTTTCGAGTTCTTTACATGGTTCTGGGTTCACCATTTTAATACCAGGTTTTGACTGTGACTCATTTGGAGACACGCACCCTCGAGAAGGACCCACATCCTGGAAGGTCCAACTTCAGCTTCCCTAATGGAGATACCAACCAAAATCAGAGATTACACATGGCTAGGCCACAATTGCCCACGAGACATCCTTCTGACATTAACATCTTCAGAGTAACATGGCACCCCAAACACTTGTTAGTTTTGGGAGGAAGCTTCTTTTTGGGGAACCACTACCCTCGCAGCCACTACCCCCAGGGGGGAAATGTGGTGTCGGCCCTTGGCACGGAGGCCTTTAAGCCATGTCTGGGGAGCCCTCGGCCCTGAGGTCCTCCAGGCGGGTGATTTGGTGCAGCTGGCTGCTCGCCTTCCTGCCAAACTTCTTGTCGCCCGGCTTCGATGACCACGCAAGAGCTAGGGTTACGCGGTTTTAGTCTTTGGCTCCATGTACCAAGGTGCTATTTCTGTACATGTATTTGAGCCACGGCCATGGTTGGGAAAACCCTGTTTACACAATGTGACTGGAAAGAAATCGAGTTGGAGCACTTGTGGGCCAGGGGGATCTCCTTAAACTGAACACGTCATCACGAGAATACATGGGAATCAAGCACCTTAGTACCACATGAACGGTGAATGTGGACAACCATGAGAGATGATTCGACCAAGACGGGGAACTTCTTGGGATCTTCATTGCAACCTGCCGATGTCTATCGCAGGCTTCCATTTGTTTGCTCACAAATTGATGATCACCAAAGGGTGCTGGAAAATTAAGATGTCTACGGAGGATACTGGGAACGCTGAATCAAGCCTGAGTGGGGATCTAATCACATTTTGAGAGACACACGCTTCGAATCTTGATGATGTAATCTGGTGTCAACATTGCTGGGATCTCTGTTGATATTTATTGTCTTTAGGCGCAAAGTATGGACCGCATCCTGAAGATGTTATATCATGTAAATTTGCGATCATGACGCATGTCCTTAGTAAAGCGAGTTGACCTTTTGACATATTGTTTGCCAGTGGGCCGAATAGGTTTAAAGCGGGGAATCATCGTTCCAAGAGCTTCCATTTATACCCCTTTTGGTCATGGTATCGAAAGTGCAAGCTTTCACTTATAACTTATAGGTCATTTTGTTACGTGTTGCATTTCAGGTTACCGCATCCCGCGCTTCACAGTCAGTGAGGAGTTCTAAGATTCTACCAAGATCTACCAAGCTTTCCTGGGGAGGAGGGGCTTTTGTTGGCCTACGGCTCATACTGACAGACAACACCGGCCGGATAAAACCCTATGGGACAACCCACCAATCAGAACTGGTGCAGGAATGCGTCCATCAAGAGAGCTGACCTCAATCTACGTTTTGATGATGGGGCACCGCTTGTTTGTAATTCCAAAAGCTTCCTTTGTCAAGGTTGTTTCTGGTTTCTTGCGTCAATTCACAGGGAGTATACTCATAGTACATGTCTGGACAAATGGTAACAAGCTGAGTTAGGGTTCCCAAATGAGCTTATCCATGATGAGGTTACTTGAGTTGGAATTGCTTATGTGTTTTTTTGTGTTTTGCTTTGATTTTTGCAGATGTGTTTTGTGTATGTGTTTGTTTACGGATAGACCTCAATTTAATCGAGGGTCTACCATGGTCTCCCTGTCTGGCAGGGTCCCGGATCACTTTTTTGGGGGTGATCATGACGCGATCAATTCCCTCAGAGCAACAAACAGGGCTGTCCTACCTTGTTTGAGCTCCTGAACGTGTAGGGTTTGTTGTGGAATGTATGCTTTGTCAACAAGTGGTAAAAGGATCGCCCTACGATGTCTGGATCCTGCCAACTACTTTCTCCATCAATGCTCTGGCAATGGAACCGGGTCAAGCCCCTGCTTGCGGTCGGATTTACCCAGAGGTTGGTCGATTCTTCCCGTGTCCCATGCTACTGACTCAGAACAAACAGGAGCGCCCAACTCTGGAAAATCGATCTCTTTCCGCTTGGGAAACAGCTATTGCTCTCGACGAGAAAACTATCACAGTTACGGACTTGTGCACAAATTTCTCAGACAAACACAATCAAACTTTGCGTGGTTCACCGCATGGAAGCGAAAGGACTAAGTTAGAAGCTAAAGGACTTTGGAACCGAACATGATGCCAAGTTCCGTCAGGTTCCATCTTCGTGGGGAGGGGGGCTGCAGTACAAGTTGCCAGCACAAGAACTCTCAGACACACCCGCGATTTTGCTACAATGTAGACTCACAGGCCTGGGGCGAATTAATCGGCTTGATCCTTTTGCGTCCGTTTGCGTCTAAGCTCCCCAAAGTAACGTAAGGGGGCCGTACCCCAAGGCACCCTTTACATGCTGCCTGCGAGTGAAGATCGTCCAGGCTGTTCCTGGTCTTTCCGCTGCGCGCCATGGTGGATTGGAAAGCTATCACGGCAGATGCTGCTAAGCTGCATATCGTCAAGGATCGGTTTGGTACGTATCTGGGAACTTGTTTACAGCTAGGCCAAGGGCTCCAACTCATTGTAACACACACACACATTCACCCGTGTGAATGCAGCTATGGCAACTGGCGGTATTATGAGCCTTGGGGAAAGCTTCGGTGGCTGCGGAGGTGTGCTTCCAGTCAGTGATGAACACCCTGACTTTGCCCGGCTCACAGCTGCGATGGAACCTGAAGCTACTGGAGGATGCCGGGATCTTGGAGGACTGAACATGGTGCCCGTGTTCAGGATCGTTTTGAGGGGTTGCATGGGTTCAGGGGTCCCTGATAACTGTTGCTTTCGGTGGGTCTAACATCAATTAATTGAGCCCTTTCAAAGTGAGTTTGTGGGGTGACCTTTGAGGACGGAACCGCCGAGCTTTGGACCTAGTGTGCTGCTCCCGTTATGATCTTGGCGCCAAAATGCTATCCTTTGGTTTCCTAGTCCTTTGGGCAAGAGAGACTTCGGCCTCAGCCGTTTGTCCCCCACAAGCCACCCTGGGAGCTGTACAATTGTACTGTTTGTGTACCCTTTATAACTTTTATAACCACTTTGGCTATGTCTATTTGGGACTTTGTGATGGTACCCTTGATGAAGCCACGCTAGAATCGCTTGTTTGGGGGGATGCCTCAATTTCAAGACGCCATTCTGCAGAGATCGAGTTCCTAGCGGAAGCTTGTGGGTCAAGAGGCACCTCACGCCTTTCCCTGCAAGGGGTGTATACACTTGCCTCAATTGCCCACAAGAGGTTTTGTACCATTGCTCATACCAATCTATTTGGAAAAGGGGTACTTGGTTTGGAGACCCAGGGGCTAGCCTATACCTGGCCATTTCCACCATGATTTTCACGTGCATGAGAATCTAACAATGCCATTCGTGTCTTGGGAGCACCAGCTGAGATAGGCCAAAGGAACACGACACTGTTTCCTATAGTCCTTATCCGTGCTGCTCGTTGGTGGTGTCATTTTGGGATTGTGACTATTCCCCCAGCAACCGGCAAAACAAGCACGTTGTGCAGGGAGTGAAAGCCCGACCAGCAAAACAGGGAGCCCATCTTCAAAAGGGATTATTTCCCCTCTTGAACATAAAAGACAAATTACGAGACCGCCAGCGTCTCAACGCAGTTGCGTGAACTGGTCGGTACAGGGTTCTACTCCTCTGGTTGTGGGGATTATTGTGAGAGCTTGATTACGCCTCCTACCTGTGCGGGTGCTGCTCAATTGCCCTGCGGTCCATTTTTGAGTCAAGGTCCCACAACGTCAACCTTTCATTTCCGCCTCATTTGCTTGCAAGTGGGTCAACTTTGCGAGAAGGGGGCAAGTCCCTTCCCCATAGCCACTGCATGATGTACCCATGGTATTTGTCGGGTCATTCTCCCATTTGAAAGGGACAAGTCATTCCCCCATATCCAAATAAATTGATCCCACCACTAGCAGGTCAATCAACAACAAGCCCCAAACAGACCATGGGGCGCCAAGTCTTTTCGTTCTACGCTGCTTTTTGGGCAGATTCGACGAACGCCTAAGCTTCAGCGAGAATGCTTAGATCTTGATAGTTTCGGCGAGAATGGCTTGAGGCAAACTTGGTTTGTTTCAGCTTCCTGCAGAAAAAGACAGCCTTGGTTCATGAAGGCGCTTAACCTGCTTCGGTAAACCATCCGCAAATCATTGTACATGGCAGTGTTTCATATTTAGGGAGTTGACTGTGCGGCAGATTACAACTGGTTAATTCAATCAGCTGAACACCTACACATATTGCCCAATGATCATAGCGTATTCGAATTACTTAGGTCCTGATAGACTTGTACAAACTTAACTCACTTCCTGAGTTCCTGGACGTACGCCGCTTGGGGCAGGCCATTCTAGTGGCAACAACAAGTTTGGACTTTTCTTGGCATACCCATCCAGGAAGTGAGTCATGTCTCTCAACGAGTGAAGGGCCTCATTGATTACGGATACTCAATACTAGTTTCAATAACATACACAATTTGTGCCCCCAGCTTATTTTCAGTGCCCTCGATTCATTTTTTGGGTGCTATGATGCATGTTGAAAAGAAGTGCACTAAAAACATGCTGGCCAGGGCGTTGTCTTGTGAGCCAACTTTCGTCATCTCTCAGGAGTCCATGCAGGGCATTACTGACGCGCCCCGCGCCTGGTGCATGGCGCAGGGCTCAAACTGGCACGAGACCTGGCGATGGAGAGCGAGACACCCGGGCCAGCTGCCAACGGATTCGTTTTGTCCTTTAAACGTAGTCTGAAAAGGGGTCTAGTTTTTGTCTAGTCTTTTTGTCTAGTGTTTGTTGTCTAGTGGCTTTTTCCCCAAGTCCGGTGGTGCCATGTTGTTGTTGGAGGGGCGCAGCCCGATCATAAAATCATACACTGTACGGATCTTCCAGGTAAAGATCAACGAACAGGCACCCATTTTGGCCATGGACATCCACTGGAGGTCTGGGGTACGGACGGGCCACGGGTCTTTGTGCGCCGCGAAGTGATGGTCAATTGGTCAAAAATATTAAGAGCTCTGGGGGGAAACGCGACCTCGTGCTCAAGGTCCTGGTCAAGGGATTCCTAGGGAGTTATAGTATTTTGCGATGTGGGAGGGATCTGGGATCGTTTTTGAGCTTATTGTGCATGGTAAGGTTCACTCACTAGGGTACATGAACAAGCATCGCGTTTTTGTTTGACGATAAAGCTGAGGCAGTGATCATGATAGCACCTTGCCCTAGCTTCAATTTGCCTCAGGAGAGCTTCTTCAACCAGTCCGTGCCCTGCGTGTGGCTCGCAGAGGACAAGTGCCGACAAGAGTTTTGCCACCAGGCAGGGTTGCAACTTGTTCAAAGCCCCTCGGCCACTTGAAAGGAAACTTCTGATGGTTTACTCTAGGAGAGTTCGGGCCCCATGTCTCAGCTTCTCCCTCTTTGCTCAATGTTATTTGCAAGAAAGGGGAAAAAGAGAATCAGCGGAGGGGGTTGGATCCCACAAATTGTGTATAGTGAGGGATCATAGCACCCCGTATGACCGCTTGTTAGGTTGTACAGCCGTTGACCAACAAAATATGTTATTTTCAACATGTCGTTGAGGAAATACGGGTTCCATACAGATCGCATGCACGGGGTTTCCACTAATTTGGAGCTCAATGGGATATACAATCACTCTACAGGAAGGGTATATTTACACCTTTTTCCTCTCGGTCTAGGTTTGGGAGTGTAGCCCTCAGAGCTGCCGAAGCCCTGAAAGGCGCCGGCCGCATTCTCCAGCCAGTGCCTCATGGGATGCGTGCAGTTGGTCTTCACGCAGTTTCAACAAGCGAGACCTGCAGTCATGGAGGCCTGGGATGTACCAAAATCTTGGGACCCCAAAAAAACATTTTGGTTCTATTCCATTTGGCGGCAAGGTGAAACAGGGCCCTCGAAAAACAGGTTAGATTTCGCATTTTGGTTCAAGCAGCAACTTGGTGAAAACCACGCCAGTATTTGCTTGTCCGAGGTAGAGCTCACCCCAACAAAGAATCATGAATCATGCAGGTGGGTAGACTGAGCTTTTGGCAACCGTATTATGCAATACTAGAGCAAATAGTCGTAGACATGGCCTCCGCGATCACACAAAGGCCATGTTCCACGAGGGAAATTGCTTTTTGGGATAGGACACGTGGGAGTGAAAGCAGCAGTTTGGCATTCCTAGAGCCTACATTCAAGTTTCCTTTATTCGTGTTTGACCAACTATTCCTGTTTGTTGCATGTCCCGCAGTTTTCCACTGGGCCAGGGACCCAAGTTCTAGAAACTTGTGCCGAGGATTTGGAGCAAAGCTGTCTCAAAATAAACCAACCTAGGGGGTTCCCAGACAAACTCCAAAACTGTTAGATTTCCCAGCTGCAATGGATTTACGCCATTTCCGTCGACCCACAACGAAAAGGGCATCTAGGTTGGAGGCTTCTCCAGCCCGTAAGCCGGGCTTCTTTGCGACTGCCCGGTTGGGTCTGTCTGAAAACTGGGGAGCCCCAAAAAAGATGGTCTTCCTCTTGGTTTCGTTTCACAATGACCCCAACAATGATGTGTTCCTTTAAGAAAAGACAAGCTGCTACCACAATGCTATATGCACGCCCTTTTCGACTTTCAAGCAATGGGTAAGGTAAGACTCTCAGCCTTGCCTGTAGCCTTGCCTGATCAGCGCGTTCACTGCTGTGAGCCACACATTTTTGCACGAAATTGCTTCAGCTCTTACTTCTTGTGTCCTTCAGCCTCATGCCGTAAACACAACTATGGGCATCTACCATATTGCACGAAATTGCTTCAGCTCTTACTTCTTGTGTCCTTCAGCCTCATGCCGTAAACACAACTATGGGCATCTACCATATTTCACACCTCCCAGACTTTTGCTTGTGGACGAAAGGATCAACGACGTATCGAGAATGCAGGAAAATGCTGAGCAAAGCTGGAATTGGTAGTTGCAACCTTTCCACCAACTGAGAGCACAGGAAGACCAAAGTCAATGAGAGCCTGACAGGCAGAACGCATTGGCATCTATCTTGATTAGTCTGCGACCTTTCGCAGGAGCCGGCGTCTCTGGAATTGCCTAGGCTCGTTTGCACAACTCAAGTTGCAAGTGCGCAGCCAATCTTCTGCATCGGTTTCAGCTTGCTGTCGTTGAACACGTGCTGCTTGTGAAACGCCGTCAACATGAGTTCAATAGGATGGGGGAATTCACTAGCAGTCCGAGAGTAGGTACATGCTTGTTCCAATTCTGCTCACCTTTGCCGCGCTTTATCAGCAAACTCCAAAGTGGCATCGAAATGCCATCCAGGCAAGACCAGAAATAACAGCAGCTGATTGGCCCTTATTTGCGATTCTACGGCTTTGCATTGTTTTTCCTGGCTCCTTTGTTAGGAGGCCAGCAATCCGCCGTTTGTAGAAGACCTTTAACTCTTCTGCCTGCCTGTGCTTGCATTGGCTTTTCCCGTCCATTTTGTTTTTTGGAAGAGACCGGAGCTGGGCTTCCGCCAGTTTTCCGCGTGTTTTGCTTGGGCATGTCTTGCCATCTCCCTGGTACTGTTCGAGAATCTGCATAAAAGTCTCCAACACGTTGCAGGCTCTGATGATTTGTTTGCTTTGCCCAGCCTCTTCAACGTGTCCATCACTTGCGACTTTGCTGCTCGCTGAAAATGCTCAAGAGATCTGTTCAACATGCCAGCGGCTGCACTCTGCTTTTTGCCAGCTTTTTCATCGCGCTTCGCCTGCTGTTCTTGTGCAGCCTTGCTCAGAAACAGTTTTGTAAATGCAGTGCAGCTTGTTTTCCAAATCTTCTTTGGAGATGCCACGAACCTCAGCATCCTCAGGCTCAAGATCCATGTCCAAAGATTCCAACAATTGCTTCGCTTGCTGTGCTGTTAGATGCACCTTTGAACTCATCCAACCGAATTTATTTTGGCAACTCCTGTCTACTTGCTGCGCAAATCTGCACATCCATAGCTTGATTCACGTACTGGATGCGGTTTGCTTCACGGATGGATATATCATTGGGCAACCGGTGATCTGGCAGAAGTGGGTTCAAGACAAGATCAGCTGGATCCTTGACTGGTCCAAATGTGGAGTTTCAAAGCCGCAACGCTGAAAGGCTCAACACAGTTTCAACAATTCGCTGTTTCAAAGAGGGCAATCTCGCTGAGGCTTTTGCTTTTAGTTGTGGTTTGTCTGTAAAGTGTCGATCTTTGCCTCGAGTTCCAGCGAAAACTTTCGGATTTGCTTGTGGACATCGCCTGATATGTGTTTGCCCAGCCAGCTGCGATTCTTTTCTTGGTCTCTTGCGCAGTTGGGCTCGGGCTTCCACCCGCCACCAATGGTGTCCTTTTTTGGCTAGTTTCGTCAGACATGTTAGACATAGATGGGTTTCTCTGGTTTGTATACTCATAATTTGTGTGCCATATCAATGGTACCATTTTGGGGTAGCTGCACCACCCATTTTAGTCTATTTTAGTGGTTGGATTGGGATGTTCACGGGGTACGATTTGGATTTTGACCCATGGCTATATGGATTTTCTTCTTGGGCCATGTTTTTTTTTTCCCCCAGTGTCGGTCGTTGTTTTGAGAATTCCGAGCCTTCGAGGCCATGACGAAGTGCGACTCTCAGGTGGCCCAGAAGGCCTACAGCCCCACGAACCTCAGGGCCCAAGCCTCGGATGTGGGCTTCGGCGCCATGGACGAGGCGAGGGATTTGTTTATTATGTTTTTTTCTTCTCGTTTTTGCTCTCTCGGGGAAAACGGGGATTCGAAAAGGGGGGGGGTTGGAACCCAACACGTGTTTTTTTGTTCTTCCCTGGGCTAGGCCAGTTGCAAAAGAAACCTTAGGAAAGAATGCGATTTGGAAGGGTTGACCATTTCGGAAGCTCCCAAGCGGGCAAAAGGTGCTGAACAGTTCGGATTCTGGGAATCCAGGATTCATTCGGCCTTCCCCATGACAATTCGCAGGCCATTTCCTTGTAAGGGTTGATAGTGGGATGTTCCTTTTTAGAGGGGATCCTTCACTGGGATATCATGTAGGGTATAGAAGCATCTTCAGTGGGAATATGAAATTATAAGCTCATTTGTAAGGGGTAACGTCGTAACGTCCTTTGTTTCGTCACGGTTTAAAGGACTGGAAGGCTTGAAGATGGTTTTAGGGTACAGTGGTCTGAATACACTTCAAGCCTTAGTGCCAGGCTTTGCAGATAAACCTTGCCAATTTTACCCTTACAATGATTCTCTTTCAAGGCTCACAAAGAGGAGGCCGAGGAGGTTGGTGTACGAGCAGTGGTTTAAGAGAATGTGGTTGTCAAGCCAAACACACAATGGCCCATTTTAAGACTCAGTCCCTGAGTTCTGGACTTCATGTTGGGACCTGGGAAGACCATTTAACGGCGAAGCACAAACGACTGTTTGGCCACTTCACTCATGAAAGTGGAGAATATATGGCTTGTTTGATCATGTTTAAGCAGGTTTTTGGTTGTTCGCCCCAGGCAGACATCATGAACTCCATGCTGTCTACGCAGCGGCTGACCATCATCGGTTTCTCTGAGTCCATGACCTGGGCCAGCATTCAGGCGAAGCCGCCATTTTCTACCCCCAAGACAAATGCGGTGAAGCCAGTACCCTGTGCGTGTTTGAGGTTCCTCAAGTTTCCCTGTCAACTCGCAAAAAGATAACAGCAGAGGCTTTGGCAAGAACAAAGCACGTAGCTGGGTGTCTCTTGTTCGAGGGCACCCTGTTGGGAGTGGGTGTTGAGACTGAAGGACAACCGCCTTTTTGTTTGGGGCTGAGTTGATTTTTTTGTCGGCTTCCCTCAAATATCCCGACAAAGGGTCACCTATTCGTGGGAGCGCCTGGTGTATTCTACCAGGCGGCACATGGGTGTGGCAAGTTGGGTAACAGGGCTACCTTCTGCGCCAACTGAAAAACCCCCCTATGGATTTGTTTGTAAGGACTGAATACGAAAGCATATTCGGTGTTACGGCGCTGTGGTCGCGGAAGACCGCGGAAGGGCGAGCGGAAGTTTCGCGGAAGGTTATGTGTTATCATGGGATGAAGCTTTCCTCTTGTACTACACGAGTACTGAACAGTTGTGCTGCTTGAGCTGGGACAGCTTGTACTCTGCTAGTACTTAAAAGCTGCGATGCTTCAGCTGGGCTGTCAAAGTCAAAGTGTGCTTCATGTGTTGATTTTTACTGAGATTAAAACGATACCCCGAGCGATACCTGCGCAATTCCGAAACGATACAGTGCCTGGGCCAAACTGAGCTACTGAGTCTGGCATCATATTCGGCGGTCCTTCTGATTCCCGCGGCAGAGTTTGTAGAAAAGCGCGAAAAACAAAATTCGCGGTCCGAAATTTGTTTTTCGTTCCGGCATTACATTCGGAGCTCCAAACGATACCAAAAACGATGCCAAAACGAAACCCATACAATTGCAGCTGTCGCCTTGCGCCGGGGCTGGCCCACCCGTCTCCGTTTTTAGCGTGAAATGTCGCTTGTGTCTGTTCCCAGTGCTGCTGCTCATTCTCTCGCCCGGGGACGCCGCAGTTGTAGCAGCGTGCTAGTGCTCAAAACGATACCCAAAACGATACCAAAACGAAGCCCCCGCAACTGTGGCTGTCGCCGTGCGCGGGGTGGCTAGTCTCTTTACGTAGCGTAGCTTGTCGCTTGTTGCCACGTTCCTCCTTCCTTTTCTTTCTCCGGTGTTCTGCTGCTCCGCTTTCTACGTTTGATTGTCCTTCTCCTTCCTTTTGCTCGTTCTGCTCTTCGTCCCATCCTCGCTCCATTCCTAGTCTACTTCTTGCTTTCTGCACTAGCTCTTCCTCTTGGCTTGCTTTACTTTTACTTTACGGAAACTTACTTATGTTCAGACACGTATCAGAGCGTGTGGTTTTACCTCCATCGCGGAAGTTCGCGGAAGGGCGAGGCGGAAGGAGTTTTTTGGAGCAAGGAATATTGGACAACCCTCATATATATATACACACATGAATATATGCATATGCATGTATGTTTTTGTTTGAGCCGCAAACCATTAACGAAGAGTTCTCATACAACCTTGCATGCTTACACACACACACACACAAGTTGGTTGAGGGGTATATGACAGAGCCGCGGCAGACATTCGTTACATACGCCGTTACGCACCCGCGCGTCACATACCTTTTTTACGCACCTCACATTAACAATGCTGGCTGGTTGGTTTCGTTTCAACCCCCGATGCATGCCCAGCATCTGAGTGATTTCCTAAGGGTACCTACAGGGCAGACTTTTGCAGAGCCTGCTTTTGCTGGACGTACTTGTGCAGGGTCAGCTGCAGAGAGCTTGCCCTTCAGGCAGCAGGGGTTCAGGGGGGGGCCGGAAGAATTGTCTTTGTGTGCTTTGCCTCATTACACACCTCGCTTGTCATTGCATGCCTCCTTACCCAGCCTGAGCCCGGGTCCAGCAACCCCTTATGCTGCGACTTTCGCGCTGGAGCTGCGGAAGTGCACTTAGCGCATTTTTTCTCGTTACATACCCGCGTAGCATCCTGAATGTGTATTTGTCCGTGGCCAGACTTTGCCGTTTTGGGCTTCCTTCTTTCTACCTTTTGGCCGGCAAACAACTTGTTGAATACTTTAGAGCCTCCGGCTCAGTCCGCCGACGTTGTCCTCTCCCTTTTCTCCTTCTTCCTCTCTCTCTTGTCTCTTCCCCGGTGTGTTCTGTCGTCCTCCAATCCTCCCCATCCCCCCAAGCCTCTCTCTCCTCAATCTCCCTCTCTCTGTCTCTCTCTCTATCTCTCTCTCTCTCTTTGTCTCTCTCTCTCTCTCTCTCTGTGTCTCTCTCTCTCTCTCTCTCTCTCTTTCTCGCTCTCTGTGTCTCTCTCTCTCTCTCTCTCTCTCCCTCTCTCTCTCTCTCTCCCGCTCTCTCCCTGTGTCTCTCTTTCTCTCTCTGCATTGCAGCGTCACGTCCCCCCCTGAGTTGCCTCGATGTCCGGGCACTGCTCCTTCATGACCCTGAACTGTTTGCTTACTACTGGTTTTTTTCTTGATTTCCCCTTCATGTCCTTTTGACGTTTCCCATGATGTCCTGGTCATGTCCCTTCCATTCCTTTCAACTCCCCCTTCATGTCCCTGTCATTTTCTCGGTATGTCCGCTTCATTTTCCGTGTATGTCCCGTTCTTTCGTTGCGAGTCATTTCCCTACATCTCCCGTCCTGGCGATTGGTTTCCTTGTCCTTTGTTTCCCTTTCATTCCCCCTGCCCTCTCCTTGTTTTCATTTGTGTCCCTTTCATGTCCCTTTCAGTTCCCCTTTGTTTCCCTTTCGCTTTCCTGTCATGTCGACTTCCTGTTTCCTCCCCTCACATCCTTGCACTTCCTTGCATTTCCCCTTCACTCCCCGGCATTTTTCCGAAG